CTGTGTAAAGCTCCTAGAGGCTACAGACAGCTACCTATTAAGATCATGTTGAGGAAGCCTCAAAAGAGCCTCCAGGGTCATGTTAGCAAACTGAAAAATTGCTTGGGATGTGGATAGACCATGCAAATGAACTTCTTGACTCCAGCTCTGCTGTTACCGAACTCCTCTCCAGGTCTGACCTCCTTCCTGTTTCAAACAATGGCTCCAGTGTTTTGTTTTTTCAAGGACACTGGGTCCTACAAGCCAGTTAGGGGCCAATCCTGAGTAGTGCCAAGTGCCCTTAAGCCCCACTGATTGCCATACCAGTTGAGAGCTCACAGCCCTTCAAGCAGATACTCAGCACCCTGCAGGGTTAGGTCCTTGGTAAGGTGAAAAAAACCCTTGTCTTGTCCATCACCACATGCAGTAAGAGTGTCTGAACACTCCTCAAACACAAGATCATTCATCTCACTCAAGGAAAGAGAGGCATGGCATGCAGGAAGAGTCCACGAGGAAATGAGACGTTCTTCTGCAGTTTTGTCTCCTTCCTCCAGGACTCTCTAGAGAGTAACCAAGCAAGAACTATCGTGGATGCTGAGGAATTAAGAGCAATAAATATAATACTCAACACTTTCCACTTCCAAAGCATTTCACAAACATTAACAAGTTGTTTCTCAGAATACCAAGGGGAGGCCTGTATTATCCTACAGACAGGGGAAATGAGGCTCGCCAAGGCTGCAATTTGTTCTAGGCCTCACACTCAGGAACAGAGATGGGATTAGGATTTGAGAATTGCTGATGCCCAGACCCATGCTCTGTTCACCAGCCCATGATGCCTACATAAAGGAAGCGTTCTGACTGGCACTTTTACAGTAGAAAACTAGAAACATCCAGGAGCTAGTCGGGCACCTCAGCTCCTGCTAGCCACTCACATCACTGACATTTCCGACTGAAAGTTCGTACATTCAGATCTTCTCACAGTAAACAAAAGGCAGTGTGTCACAGGGCTACGGCTCCGTTTAATCTGATCCCTCTAAATCACTAACAAGAACAACTACATTTTCCCTAGGCCCAGATCCTCAAAGGTACTTAAGCACATTACACCTATTGATTTCAGTGGGAGTTAGGCACCTAAATATCTTTGAAGATTTGGGCCCTAGCATAGACGCCGACCCTGGAACCCATGGAAAAAAATAGGGGGTGCTCAGCATACACCAGCCACAGCTGTTGGGTGGGCCCCAGGGCTAGCCGCCGATCAGCTGTTCCATGGGGCTCCGGGGCTGGCTGCCAATCAGCTCTTAGGCAGCTGGTGGGAGGGGTCCAGGGGAGGATGGAGAGGAGCAGCAACAGGATGGTGGGGGGGCTTTGGGGAGGGGCTGAGAGAACTGAGTGACAGGTGCGGGGGCTCGGGGGAGGGAGCAGAGCGGGGACAGGAAGAGGTGGAGGAAGAGGTGGAGCGAGGGCGAGGCCTTGAGGGAAGGGATGAAGTAGGGCTGAGGCCTTGGGGCAGAGCCAGGGTGGCGCACCCACTGAGAAAAACAAAAAAGTCAGCGCCTAAGTCCCCTAGTTCTTATTTTAAAGTGTCTAAACCTCTTTTTCTAAAATGTCTGACTCCTTCTCAGCTTTGTTAAGACAAGAATGGTTTTAACATCTCAGATTCCACCGGAGTAGTGAATTACAGCGATAATCCCAATAAGGCTTCAGCTTCTGCTGCCCTGACATTCTCAGACACACAGATCAAGTTTCAGGAGCATGACTTTCCATCCAAACACCTGGGGCAGTTACCTGAGTACATGGCATAACTGCCCTTTCTTTTTTCAAAGCTGAACTTTTTGTATTATCAGCTTTGGTTAAAGTCCCCTTTGGTTAAAGTATGCGATCTTCATGACTGGAACTGCTAAGAAAATAAATCACCGCGGCTTTAACCATTTGCCTTGCTGTTTAGTTTGGCAGTTATGTATTCCACTGACAATACAGAAACTTAAACACAATTGTGTCTAAAAAAAAGTCCTGTCTCACTTCAACCCACGTCAACCGTGGGCCACGTCTCCACTCTGGGTGCCGCAAGTGGCACAGCTACAACTGCAGCTATGCCACTGCAGTGCCATCGCGTAGCTGCTTCCTACAGCAGCTGCAGGGGCTCTCCCATTGCTGTAGCTGATCCACCTCCCCAAGTGGAGGCAGCTGTCTACTGAAGAATTTTTCCATCAACCTAGCCATGTCTATAGTGGGGAGGTTAGATCGGCTTAATAAAGACATTCAGGAGGGTGAATGTTTCACGCTCCGAGCACGGTAGCTATGTAGACCTAACTTTTAAATATAGGCCAGGCCTTAGTTTACTCAAAACAGTTCTTTTTCTGTTCTGTAAATCATACTCTCCCACCCATGTCGTAGTTTAGACACAAACGTTACCTTGGCGACTCATCATGTTGGATAACCATCTGTGCATTAATTCCCCCAAGCTTAATAGGAGCAAATTGAACCCCTTTTAACAAATACCAGTTTGGGCTCAAGTGTTAATATCTTTTACTCAAGACCAGGATTTAATTAAAACACCTGAGAATAATAGCAAAATTAAGATTAAAATATGCCTAAATGTTAATTGTATCATCCTTTCATCATCATTTGATCTCTGTTTTGAGCTCCCTTTTGACAGTTTGGCTTCATAATCCTCTGGCAACAATCTGCATTTAACTTAATTGGTTTTATCAAATCTACATATACTTCATTCCACGTGAAACAAATTGACTATGAGATCTCTCTACTGAATTATTCGCATTCCCAGTAAATTTCATAGTACCAAATATCAATTTTAATGTGCTTAATATTGCACTGTACAAGTGACTGCCGATGTTGAATGAGATATTGCTTTTAGGACCTGATTTTCAAATTCTTGCTTCCAATGGGCATATGCATTTTCACCTGTATACACCACTATGTGGACTTTGCTGCATTCATCACTGTACATGAAGATGATACAACATTAATGGGAAAAACTCATGAGTTTTACTCACAAACACTCCAGTCCTTGCACACACACGTGTCAGTGCTACAGTGCACTCACACCAGTCCACACCCATCAAAATTGCATACACTCAAGCAGAGGCTGGTTTGAGGGGAAAGGAGCACTTTCATTTAACCAGGAAAGCAATCAGGTGAGTCAGCATTGTCAGAGATCAGCATTGTCAACAACTGATTATTTCAATCTTTAAGTTTTATTAATCTTTGATTATTTAACCCTCAGGCTCTAACATTATAATCCAAATAAATTCCTTTAGAGAGAATCCAAAAATACTTCAAAATGTGTTATAACTAAGTAACATTCACATCCCAAAAACAACTACGAACAGCACAGATAAACACCTGGTGTTATGCTTTTTCACACAGCCACAGGATAACAATTATTATGTAAAATTCAGTGTCTGTACAGTACCTCACACAATGGTATCCTGGTCCATGACTGGCGCTCCTAGGCGCTACAGTAATACAAATAATAATAAACAGTGTGAAAGAACTTGGCTGAGCTAGCCTCTTTAAAGCAATGAAAACTGAAGGAAAACTACTCAAAAAAGGTAAAGAAAGAGAGAAATGGTGTGGGGGTTTTAAAGTACATTTTGTCATTTTGAAATGTAACCAATTCTTTCCATGTGCCAGTTGATTGGCAAAGTTAATGATACAGTGGTTTATAAGAAAAAGAAAGTGCAAGAACATGCCATAATCCTCTGGATCAAAAAGGGGAAAACTAACATAACAGGAACAAAGAGCACTTACCAGCGACAAGAAAGGAGGGTGCAGCAAAGAACAATGAGTTTTAAAATGACTCCTTCAGGGCTGGAGCTGCTTGGCTCTGCCAAATTTAAAGGGCCAGCTACAGAAAGGCATGCTGGGAAAGAAGAGCTTATAAGAGAACAACCCTGGACTAGGTGCTGTGTTGTGCATGCCACTACTATATATATATATATATATATAAAAATCAGTAGCATCTCATCTTCTTGTATTGATTACATCTTACCACATAGTTCCCATCCAGTGCCTAAGAGAATTTTTTTATTTTAAGTTAAGATGAATGCTTCCCTCTTAAAGTAAAAACCGCTGAACATGTTGAAAGTTTGTGAGGCTCCATCTGACCAAAGGAGATGCCTCTGAAGTGTTCAGAAGTGAGGCCTGAGGGTTCTGTTCCTGCAAGAAGGAAGCTCACTGGGCACCAAAGTGTCTTAGTCAGAGACAAGCAACCCATAAATAATACTTTTTCTTTATATACCCCTTTCATCCAGTGATCTCATTTTATAAACATCAGCTAGGTTTCCTACATCTTTGTGAGGCAGGTATTTTTAACCCCTTCCACAGAGTGTGCAACTGAGGAATGTAAAGGCCTACATTTTCAAAAGATTCACTCATTTTGGGCAACCCATTTCAGATACCATTGAAGTCAGTAGAAGTTGCGGGTGCTCAGTTGCTCTTATTCAGGTCCTATGTGTCTCAGGTTGGGCTAACAAAAACAGAAGCACCTATAAATAAAGGGCAGGCAGAAACTTGACACAAGTCACAGCGTCCGTGGCCCAGTCAGGAATATAGCTCAGAACTTCTGCTCTAGCCATTAGACAATGCTCAAGACAACTTTAAGATTAAAGAACAAAGAGTGTGTTGTGGTAACACCTAGTGCTAGAACACATCTTTTTCCTTTCCAGGGGCACCATTTAATCCATTGGTGATACTCTCACTGTGACATGCAAAGCTAACTCAGTATGCTGACAGTATGTCTCTATTCCTTGTTGTGTGCATGTTTAAACTGTGCGCTGTATCACATCAAATTTAAATGAAAAAACATATTGAGCTGGGAAAATAGGAGTAGAGAAAGGTTGAGGGAAATCAGAGAAGTGATTATTTTGGTGGGGTTTAGAAAAATAGCTACCTAATTCTGAGCCTCCTATAAAGATAGTCATCAGATTATGAAACTGTTGTACAGTCAAATGATTCTTACTGGCATAACAGCAGCACCAATGGTTTTCTTGTGAATACAGGTTTTTGCTGCTATGGAGTGCAGTGCTTATCATGTACCCTACCAGCCTGGCTGTTATCGCATTGACATTTTCAAACTATGTTCTACAACCGGTGTTCCCTAATTGCATCCCACCCTATAATGCCTCCAGGGTCCTCTCCACGGTGTGTTTATGTGAGTATTTCCTAATGTTCTTTATGCTCCTATGAAGTTTAGGTCATCTTTACGTCAAAGAGGTTTAATATTCTCTAAGGGGCAAATCCATCCCCCACCCCACCCTAATGGTCACTGAAGTCCCCTTTGCAGCAACCAAGGCAATTCCACTATGGTGGTCGGAGGCTGGATGTGAGGAGGGGAGGTGCTATATATCATGCTGGCTCAGCTGAGTCTTATTTTCAGTTTCATTGTGTACTATAGGGTGATATATTCCACAAAGAAATGGACCAAAGAGGAGATGTGCCCATCTGGATTAGGTATAAACTGAGGTCTGAGGTTCAGGTTGAAAGATGAATAAGGGGTAGGGCTCAGTATGTGTAGCTAAGAACCTTTCACTGTATTTAAACCACTGTTGCTAACTCAACAAATGGATTAGCAATTCACAAGTCCTTCATATGTGTGTGTAAAAAAACAAATGCCACCAGTTCTTAATTAATTACTAAGGACCCAGAGGGGAGAAAATCAGAATGAAAAGGGATGGAGAGACTCACCACTTCCGCTCAGGCCTGGTCTACGTTACAGAATTAGGTCAATACAAAGCAGCTTACATCGACCTAACTATGTACGTGTCTACACTAAAGGTTCACTCCTACTGCCATAACTTGCCCACTACACTGACTTAATAAAGCCACCTCCACAAGAAGCGTAGAGTCAATGTCAATGCAGTTAGGTCAACGCAGTGTCAGTGTAGATACTACATTACTAACATCGACTGTTGCTGGCTTTCAGAAGCCATCCCACAATGCCCCACACTGACAGTTTAATTGGTGCTCCTGTTGAGGATGCACACTGCTGACACAGGAAGCGAAGTGTAGACACACACAAGTAATGTAATTACTGCAGCAGCTGTATGCCGACGTAAGTTAGGTTGACTTAATTTTGTAGTGTACACATGCCCTCAGTTCACAGAAGTCCCTCCCCACAATTAGGACTTCCTAAGTATTGATGGGGGCATCAGGGATAGAGCTCTGGCAAATGTCCTTCTGAAACAGGCAGTTTTCTAGGGTGGAGTTAATCCTGCTCATCAGACCAATCCAAACCCAAGCTAGATTTCCATCTGGTCTGCTGATAGGAAACTAGCAGTCTATGTTTCTCAGCATTTGTTAATGAATATTCTGAAATATACAAAATTTTGTTCCACTGAATTCGGTTTTCTGCTCTCTAGTACTCCTGACTTGGGTGAACAGCTCCAGCGTTCGATGGGCAACTCGCATCCAGGATATATTTACAGCAGGAAAACTGTTAGCCTTGGCCCTTATCATTACTATGGGCTTCATACAGATCTTTAAAGGTACTCACTGAGAAAGCCTAACCATCAGTACTGTACTATTGGTAAAATTAAATTCTCTTTAGAAAGCCTGTTGTACCCATCCCCTTGTTTTCTAGTTCTTAGCAGGCAGGGGAAGAATTCTGAGGGCTTATTTTATTTCCCCTGCTGACAGAGTTCTCTGCTACAATTAGCAAGCATTTGGATTTGAAAGAAACTGGAGAAGGAGGTAGCCGGTGAAGTTACTTGATCTGTGGGAGGCCAAGTTTCAAGCAGGGCCTAGCAAAGACACCACTGTGTAAGGTGCACATAAATGTGTGACTAAACTGAAAATAATTAATATTAATTGCTGTTAATTGAAGCTACAGGATTCCTTCCAAGTACAGGTGCAATCACAAATGAAGTATTCTTCAGAACATAGCATGATAAGTAATTATCAAACAGGCAACATACTACAGAAATAAGATGTAGCATCCTTGCACAAGTTTCTCTCTCAAAGAAAACTGTTGTTTTCAATAAAGTAAAGCGTGGAACTGAAATATTGAGAAATATCTCACTGGGTAGATTTATAATGTAATTTTATCAATGACATGTTCCTCAAATTTTAATTGCTTTTGATGAACTCTGTATAAAATAATCCTAAGAAATATAGGCCCTAAATCAACAAGCAATGTAAGCAGTTGCCTAACTTTAAGTATATGAGTAGTTCCAGTTCCCCTGGAAGCAATGGGACTACTCACGTACTTAAAATTAGACAAGTGCTTGTGTATCTTACTGATTCAGCCCCTTAATGAAAAGCACAGGACCCAAGGGATGATGATGTTTTCAGCATGTGTGAAATGGGTCATGTAGAGAGGACAGAAATACAGTATTTACAACAGGAAGAGGCAAGGGCACCACTTTCCAGGTTAAAAATAAAAAAGCCCCACAGCCTGAAAAATTCCACCTGCCCTGCAGGGTTTTTTTTTTCAAAGTAGAGTGAATGTTATCGAAGAACCCTGGATTCCTGTAGAGGAGACACTCACTCCATTCAGATGAGATGAGAGTGTAGGGCATCAGAGACCAATGCTGAGCTGGTATAAATTGTCATAGTTCCCTTGAAGTCAATGGGGATCACACAGGTTTTGTGGCAGCTCTGTCTATACAGCTATGACAATTTACACCATCAAGGCTGTTCCCCAGGACAGTTTTGTATGAGAATCTAAAAGAAGCACTGGTAGTTTAATGTTAATGTTTCCCAGTTCTCAGGGTGCAAACCAGTGTAGCACAGTCTAAGGTTAGTAAACGTAATATAAAATTGAATGAACACAATTCTAGGAAGTTTACAATTCTCTGAAAATAATACTTTTCTTATGTCCTGGTTCCCCGGGTAGGTGGCACTTCCACCAGTCACCATCAAAATAGTTTACACTTCTGACTTAACTTCTTGCTTTTGTTCTGTCTATAGGAAACTATGAAGAACTGACACCAAGCAATGCATTTGATTTTTGGATGTCTCCATCTGTGGGACAGTTAGCATTAGCTTTTCTTCAAGGGTCATTTGCATTCAGTGGGTGGAACTTCTTGAATTATGTCACAGAAGAATTAGTTGATCCCCGCAGGCAAGTATTTATTTCCATATGACCCAGATACTTTTGAGGTAAAGACAGTGGGATCAGTCTGTTGGTACTATGCACAGTGTGTTCTGCAGGAGGACTGACATCACTAAATGTCTATACGTATCCGAAGTAAAGGTAATTACCTTCCTTTTTAGATCCCAAATGAGGCAAGTTAAATGAAGGTGCTGAAATTAAGAATGTATTTGGCCCATCAAGTTAGACATAGCTTTCACCGAACAAAGATATCATATAGGTGTAACACTGACATTATGGCATTATTGAACTGTCTATTGCTTACATATTAATCTATATTAATGGGACTAAACATAAATATAACTACCTATTGCTTATATGTTAATGGCACTAAACATAACTAGCTATTGTTTATGTATTAATCTATATCATTGATGGGATGCCTCACAAAATTACATTATATTTTATGTGTGTGTGTGTATTTTATATCTATATAATACCAAAACATATTGTCTGTGGTCTTGGTTCTTCAGACAACATTTCCCCCCAAAGGGAACACATAAAGAAGAGATTAAAATGTCTTTTTACAGAAGAGGCAGAATTCTCCCTCCCCCACCCCACTCCATTTATGAAACACTTCTGAAACCTGCTTTCTTCAGTGATATGTGCAGTGTGGATACTGGCTGCTGGCTATAGAAAGAAAGTTCTCTCAGGGTGATTGGCATCAGGTTTGGTGCTGATAGTGCAGGCTTTGAAATGAGTTATCCTCCATCATGTTTGAAAAGCCAGGGGGAGAGTGATTTCCACCAAGAAGCAGCAAAAGCGCAAAGGTTTCAGAATTTCTGAGATGAAAAAATAGAATAATAAATTCATACGACAGTTTTTGGGTCTTCAATTGCTTCTAGATGTTCAGCACACGTACCCCAACATCCCCAGTTAAGCAAAGTATAATTTCACGTATTACACATTCTAGATGGAAACAAATTACAGCCTCAATCCTGCAAAAACTTATTTGCATACTTTAACTTTACCTATGTAAGTAGTGAGATGTTCATGTACATAAAGTTATGCATATTTATAAATCAATTTATAAATCTTTAAAGAATTTAAGGGGAAAGGAGGCAGGTATGGTGCTCTCTCAAGCAACTGTAAACATTTTCACAAACATCCAGAATTTCCTAGTGTGGTCTCAACTGAGCAAAAAAGAAACAAGGGAAAGAATTAATGTAGTGTTTGCCAGCAGGAATTGGATACTACTGTCATATGCACAAGTTTAAGAAGAAAAATAATTCAGTTTGTGTTTTGTAGCATCTATAGCTACAGGGAAAAAAAACAGTTTGGCACATTATTGATAACCCATCAGGTTAAACTGAGTGTTAGAGATGCCAATTCCAGCTCTCTGAAAGTTTTACAATGGAATTTTATCAATTTTACAGTTTTTGAGGGAGAAATACAAAATAAAAAGCTATTTTCATTAGGGAAAAGAAATAAAACCCAACTTCATGTCTATACCAAAACCTTGCAAAACTACACTGGTGAAAACTGTTTATTAATCTTTTTTGCTCATCTGACAAAGTCAAAAATCAGAGCTATAGTGAACACATTAGCCTGAGTGGAGTGTACACACTAAACAGCTCTCACAGTCTGTAGAATGCTTTTGTCACTTGGCTAAGTTTCTCAATGAATAAATGAGAGAAAAAGGCAAGTCCGTTATTTTCCATGGCATCATTTTTATCAAACAGAGCCTCATGTAAACTAAATTAAACTTACAGAAACATTATTAGTCTTAAAAAGAAAAGGAGTACTTGTGGCACCTTAGAGACTAACCAATTTATTTGAGCATAAGCTTTCGTGAGCTGTAGCTTATGCTCAAATAAATTGGTTAGTCTCTAAGGTGCCACAAGTACTCCTTTTATTTTTGCAAATACAGACTAACACAGCTGTTACTCTGAAACCTGTCATTATTAGTCTTGTTAGTTATTACCGTATAGCTTACACAACATAGAAAACGTATAGGAATTCTTTATGAAGAAAAAGCTTTCTGGTATCTCCATCGCAGCCATGTTGTAAATTCTGTTTGATGGTCTTCAGCTCTGTGGTGATATCCTGAAGCCCTGTAATGGTTTTAGTATTCTCAGAACTGCAATATGTCAAGCTACTGAGAGAAGTACAGATATGGGGTGGCGGGAGGAAGGAGGGGTTTTTTTGTTCTATATTTTGTTCTATGTAGCAATAGGGCAGTAAAGCACAAAACTGGATAAAAACTTCTCCAAAGTTGCCATGAGGGGGAGGGACAACGGGTGGGGTGGTATGGTCCAGTTATATGTGAATGTAATTTCTTATCAAACCTCCTAATTCTTCAATTAGGAACCTACCTCGTGCCATATTCATATCCATCCCATTGGTGACATTTGTGTATACATTCACCAATATTGCATATTTCACTGCCATGTCACCTCAAGAGCTCTTGTCCTCCAATGCTGTGGCAGTAGTAAGTAAACCATTCCATGGATGTCTAAAATACACTTTAATTTCAGTTCTGTGCTGTGCAGTATATTTCAGTTTCTCTGCCTTCTGTTGCTTTAGACATTTGGTGAAAAGTTACTGGGCTATTTTTCCTGGGTTATGCCAGTCTCAGTGGCCTTATCTACATTTGGAGGAATAAATGGATACCTTTTTACCTCATCAAGGTTAGTTGGAGTGCAATTTTATGAACATTATCTAATTTTCTACAACGCTTGCTAGACATTTTGTGTGTTATAGACCTTGATCTCAAGTGTTGGGCACATTAGAAACATTAAATTATGAATTGTGCCATTTCAGTCAGCAGATATCATACTGAATAGCAGGATCTCCTGAAAAAGAGCACTTATGATCTACTGGAAATGTCTGATGGAATGATTTGTACTAAGAATAAAACATTGGCTACATACTTAGACAATGTAATTTTACAATACAATTGCAGTAGCTACAAGCTAAGCTATGCTTAGCTCAAAAAGTAGATTGAAGAAATGAGAGTTGTAGGGCCAAATTCGATTCTCAGTGACATGGACATAAATCCAAAGTAAACCCATTCATTTGATGGGTAGTTTGCACTAGTGGAACTGGAACCAGAATCTTGCCCATAGTCTATTTAAATTTTAAATTTAATAGAAATATGAGTTCCGTAAGAAAATAAAATACAAACATCTGTCAGGAAAGAGGTAACAATACAGCTCCTTAGTGCTTTAGCCAAGTCACGTACCTTAGTGCTCTCAAAATGTGGTGAGACCTGACAAACCTGAGGACATTTAAAAACATAACAATTCAGGTATTTAAAAAAATAAAACCTTGAGAGATACTGGGCCTGATCCAAAGCCCATTAGTCACTGGACAGACTGTTGATTTAGGCTCTATCGTAGATATTTATATGGTTCCCATCACCATAGTATCTGGGAGCCCACAGTTTTAATGTATTTATCCTCAAAATATCCCTGTGAAGGAGGGCAGTTCTATAAGCCCTATATTTACAGCTGGGTTGCTGAGCCAGATTGAGACTAAGGCCCAAAGGTACTTAGCTCCTAACTTCCAAATACCTTTGAGGATCTGAGCCTAACTGACTTGCCCAAGGCACACAGGAAGTCTGTAGTGGAACAGGAAATTGAACCACCGTCTCCAAAGTATCAGACTAGCTCCCTAACCACTAGAACATCCTTCCACTCCAAGACTCCCCCAGGTTTTGAATCAGGCCAATTGAGGCTGATGAAACAGTGCAGCTAAATGTTGGAGTAACTTGTATACTGAATGTTCCTATTCTGCTTCCCAGGTTATGTTTTTCTGGAGCTCGTGAAGGTCACTTGCCCAGCTTGCTTGCTATGATTCACGTTAAACACTGCACCCCAATCCCTGCCCTTCTAGTGTGTGTAAGTTTTATTTTTTCTGTCACGTCTCATCTGCTTAAATGGGAGTGCAATTTAGAAAAATCTTTGTTTGCAAACTGAAATGCTTCATTTAAGAAATTGTGAGCTCTTTTACTGATTCTGTCCGCTCACTGCAAACATTTAATGTGGAGAAAATCTCCCTGCAGTCAATGCTAATTCCACTCCACAGGGCTAGTTCAGAGCTTGCTGCCAAGCTAATAGCCATAGTGGGCCCCAGGTACAGGGCTAAATGCTACTCGTTGTTCTGTAAAAACTAGATGCTTTGTGCAGTGATACATTGATGCTCTGCATTGAGCTTCTGGAGAATCAGGATGTGTCCCCTTTACTTTGGCCCTGTAAAGAAAGTGAGTAGAGAAGATCAGCGTAACAGATTCAAAAGAAGCATATACCAGCTGAACACGTTGGGTAAAACAAGGGGGACACCCAATTACATTAAAAGGTGACACATTTTAAAATGTAGAAAGGAAAGATTTTGATTTGTTTCTTGGTTTGTTTTTTTACACAATGTAAACTTACCTTATAGCAGTGAGTTCCACAAGTTATTACTCAGATTGAGTTGTTAGCCAGGTGGTGGGGTTGAGCCAGCATTTGGTCTTAAAAATGTGCATAGTCATCATGTAGGAAAAAGAGGGAGAATTATTACACACTCCCAACTCTCTCTTACTCCACAACACATCATGGGGATGAAGGCCACTTCCTTCCACAGTTTAGTAGGGTTCTAAAGGGTTGTAGTAAGCCTAAAATGTTCAGTTATATTTTATTTTACATTCCTCATGCTTCAATAACGGTTAGCATGAAAATTCCCTCACAGGCACATTGGCTGAAATCTTGGCCCCACTGCAGTTAATGAGAGGCTTTTGCATTGCAGTGGTAGTCAACTGACTTCAGCGCATCCAGGATTTACACCCATATTATTATTCTCCCAGTGTGTGGCTAGCTATAGCAGTCGTGCTATCACAGCCCAGCACTATCTTTTTCTCAGTAACCGTTCTGCATAATCTATGTTAATATAAAATCATGATTTAGCCAAAAGGTAGCAGTGCCCTGGCATCTTTCCTGCACAGGCTTTAATGCCCATACACACCCACATAACTCAGTGTCTGGAATCTTTTCTGGTTGAGCTGCACTACGCAATCTGTGCGGTGTATAAAAAAAAAACAAGATCCAGCTCCTATATGGACTCATTGGGCAGCCGAGCTGTGGTGATGCAGATGAAGCAAAGTCCCTTTGTCCATAAAAATACATCAGCTCAAATAATGTGCTGAGTGTCAGTGACTATCACTTTGTGAAATAGCCAGAGCGTGAGCAAGCTCCCTGTGCAGAGCAGAACTGGCAAATCAAACAAATGCCAGCTACCCAGTTTGTAGAGAACATTCCCTTTAAATTACTGTGCAAATTACAGAACCAACACTGGATATTAATGAATCATTCAGCGGTAGGGGTTTATTTTACATCTCGGGATGTACTAAGTGTTGCTCTGAAATATTAATTTCTATATAAATAGTAATATAAAAATATTATAGTCTGCAGTTACAATAGCAAATTACATCAGACTTTAGGCAAACCTAATTAATGCATCAGGATTTTTTAAATTAATCGTAGCCTGTGCATTAAGGTAGACCTACTTAAGGTCTCAGAAGATTACCATGTTTTTGCTGTTCCTTTCCAAAATTGGGTGTTTAAACAAGGTGGTCATTAATGCAAAGTGAATGGGGTTCAAATCATTTAAAAGTCTATTTTATTGGGGTGCACAGCTCAATAGATTCAGATCGTGGAAGCTCCTTCACCTGAGGTTTTCAAAAGGAGGCTGGATAGCCATCTGTCCTGGATGGTTCAGACACAACAAATCCTGCACCTTGGCAGGAGATTAGACTAGATGATCCTTGGGGTCACTGCTAACCCTATAGTTCTGTGATTCTAGATGCTATCACTTTAGGGTGACCATATTTCCCAAAGGCTGGGGCGGACGTTGCTGCTCACTCAAGCCCTGCGTGCCCCACACCGGAGCCCTGCCTCCCCCGCTGTGTGGGACTGGCATTGCTGCTCACCACCATTATCGCCCACCCATGTTCCTTTGTGCCCCACTTTCTTGACAAAAGTGGGCATTTGTCCTGTTTGCTCTTGCCAGCTGATCAAGTTGGCAAGAACAAATGGGACAAATGCCCAAAGTCGGGATGGCCGGTACAGGGCTTAAAAAAAGGACTGTCCCAGCCAGAACAGGATGTACAGACATCCTGTGTCACATGTTTTGAAACTTTTCCCAAGCATTATCCGTGGCACTGTTGTCCACCAGGATAGTCATCAGAGGAAACAGTATGGCACGCAAGCAACACTTTCCACTCTAAGAACTCAAGAAAGTATTTGAAGGGGAAATGGGAGCCAACCAATTTGGCAACAGGGTCATTTGATCAGGAATACGCTGGATACATATCCCGATATGAGTGAACACCAGAGCTGATCACCTTAGTGTCACTTACACCTGAGATCTCATCAGCCTAAGGGGCTTTGCCACAAAACCAGCTAATCATGGCAAAGAGAGCACTTAGAGCAAATCAGATGGAGGTATTATATGACATTGATATAAAATATTATGCTTTCCTATTTTAAACCTTTTCAAGTCACCAGCTTCATGATGAAAGTCTTCAAGGTCTCGAGATCTCCTTAGGGATTCACATGAGCAGCTGCGGAGTGGTGAGACACTTGGATCTCTAAAAGAAAAGGAGTACTTGTGGCACCTTAGAGACTAACAAATTTATTTGAGCATAAGCTTTCGTGAGCTACAGCTCACTTCATTGGATGCATTGGACCTCTAGCATTATTTGCTAGTGCCAGTGGCACATGAGAACCACCCACCTTCAGGGGTACTGCCACAAACCAGATAGTCATGGGAAACAGGAATCTGAGCGGGGTGAAGTCTCACAATAATGGAAAGACAAATCATGATTGGTTCTGGGATCCCACCTTGGGATCTACAGGCGCTCAGATTCTGGAATTTAATGGATGATACTTTATAGTTCTGGGTCATTTGTATGACAGTAACACTGCATATGGATGAATGACTATTATAGTTTTAGAACACAGCACTGTTGCAGAATAAATATGGGTTTTGATTAATGCAGGTAAAAATGTGATCAAAAGATGTTTGAAAAACCTAAGTTTAGTGAGGCGTAATTATCTCAATTGGGTCCCATTCTGCAATCTTCTGAGCATCCTTAACTCCTGGCTAATGTCAGTGGGGAGTGAGGCACTCAAGACCTCTCAGGATCTGGCCCATAAACAGTAAGTCAGCTCTGTTAACATTACACAGTGTTATTCACTAACAAAGCAAGTACAAATAAGCAAGCGGATGCATGGAAATTTCTACCAGCCATCTGCCAGTATCTAAACAGTAGTAATGCAAAAAAGATTAATGATATAGGTCATTTTCAGCGTGTCCCACTAGCTGGGAAAAAAGAAAGCTAAAGCTTTTATTCTTTATAATATATTCAGGTCACCTAGAACAAAGTAATGTACTAACCACAGAATGTTTGTCTACAAGAAATCTATCCTTTCCCATAAGAGACAACTTTAATTTTGCCAGAAGTCCTGTCCTAGAGTTCAGCAGCTTTTAAAAACACACATAACAGAAATTGGTGGAGTGAAGCCATTAAAAGCAAGTACAGTAAGTACTCTGTTCTCCAGTGTAGTTACACCTGCAGCACTTAGGATCAATCCTGTGCCCTTTGATGTCCATGATTAAAAACTCCATTGATTTCATTAGGAAGCAAGAAAAAGCTTCAATTCAGGGGGAAATTTTTGGTGATTAAAGTTACTGAGTTACAGAAAGCGTCTTCCTGGGAATAAAGCTTACAGCAGTTTAGATCCTATAGCATTCTCCAGTTAAAAGTCAGTCGCCTTCATTGGTCTTACTGTTCATTAGCACCCTCATCCCCTTGTGTGCAACCTGATCGTATACATTATGAAGCGCAAACACTGGAAATATGCTGACTGCGGGTGGCGGGGCGGGTGGGTGTCAGGTGATCAGGCCTTTTCTCAAAGCGTGTTCATTTTTGACATAGTACATAGTTAATATTGGTGCTGAACATTCTTCAGCTATGACGCATTGCAGATGTTCTACTGCTTTCTGAACAGAGTATCACAAATTCTGCCTTAAGCCAAGGTTGTTGTGAACAGCCTTAATATCTGGGTTGTGCTGGGAGTTCAGCCAACACTGTGATCAAGAGAGGAAAAGGAATGGAAAACCCCTCAACCACATAGCAGCACCAGGTACGCTACAGGTGCCTTCATGGTTGATGAGCTACACTCCCCGTATCAGCAGCAAAGAGTCCTGTGGCACCTTATCGACTAACAGACGTATTGGAGAATAAGCTCTCGTGGGTGAAAACCCACTTCATCACACGCAACTTTTACAAATTGGATCTGTAAAAGCGGCAAAAGATGCAGACTAACACAGCTACCCCTCTGATACTCCCTGTATCGCTACACTGAAACTTCTTGCGTGCTAGTCTGGAAGTCCCCGTGGATGAGGTTCACAATGCACAGGTTGCAGACTCATCTTGCCCCATGTCCCCCACCCCTATGCAGCAGACCATCACTGGAGTTTCAATTCAGGACCCTGCACACCAAGATGGTGGGATTAAGCCCAGCATTTGGTCTTAAAAATGTGCATAGTCATTTTGTAGGGAAAATGGGGAGAATTACACACACCCTGGCTATCTCTTACTCCACATTACCTCTTTGGGTATCCAGGCCACTTCCTTCCACTTCTGGTGTGTCCTCTAGTCATTGTTTGACCAGGGTTATCAAATTTTCCCAATGCCAATATCAATAGTATCATTTTCAAAGACAGCCTCTTAATTGGTACTCGCAGTTCTGCACATGCAAAGGCTGGTTTGAGGCCCCTTTGAATATTGGGCTTCAAGAGCTTGTCAGAGTCATTCATCTCATTAGCGAGGTGAGCTCTGCAAGTATGCACAGGTGTTATTGAAGGACCACAATCAGCAGCATCATTTCAGGGAACATTCTCCATGCATTTTTATAAATAGATCTATAGGCATCTGACTTCAACATAAAAAAAATAAATGCAGAATCTCCATTCAAGCCTGGGGTTTTGTGGTACACGTTTTATCTAGTAAACAGACTCACAGGAATCAGTAGCAACACCCAGTGTGGGATGTAAAGAAAAGGAACGTAATTGCTCGTTGCTGTTTTTAAGTAAGCCTTTCTGGTGATGACTCAAATAAGAATGTGCTTCTCTCTTGTTTAGTGTTTGACCACAATTATCATCATGCTTGTTGGAGACACGTACACATTAATTAATTATGTGTCGTTTATTAACTACCTCTGCTATGGAGTGACAATCATAGGCCTGATTGTGTTGCGTTGGAAGAAACCCAAAATCTTCAGACCTATCAAGGTGAAAATATTTAAGCCAAATTTCTTAGTTCTATGGTCTTCCTATTAACAATCTAAAGAATGTGTCAACCACAGCAAATCCCTCATCAGAACTTGAAGTACTGTTTATTATTATTTCTGTTGTTTATTATGGTAGTGCCTAGAGGCCCTGTGGTGGGATGTACCATACAAACACATAGCAAGAGACATATCTCTGCCTAGTAGTAGTTATAGTCTAAAGCAGGGGTGGCCAGCCTGTGACTCTGGAGCTGCATGCAGCTCTTCAGAAGTTAATATGCAGCTCCTTGTATAGGCATCGACTCCGGGGCTGGAGTGACAGGCGCCAACTTTCCAATGGGCCAGGACGTGCTCACTGCTCAACCCCTGGCTCTGCCACAGGCCCTGTCCCCGCTCCACCCCTGTCCGCCCACTCCCCTGAGTCTGCCATGCCCTCGCTCCTCCCCCTGTTCCCTCCAGAGCCTCCTGCATGCCACAAAACAGCTGACCGGGAGAGAGGAGGAGGTGCCAGTGAGTGGGAGGCACTGGGAGCCGGGGGTGGGGAATTGATGTGGGGGGCTGCTGATGTATTACTGTTGCTCTTTGGCAATATACATTGATAAGTTCTGGCTCCTTCTCAGGCCCAAGTTGGCCACTCTTGGTCTAAAGAGACAAGGCAGACAAAGGATGGGAGAGGAAACAGAGACACAGCGAGGTGAAGCCTAAGCTCACACAGCTGCGTTTTGCCAGAGATAGAAATAGAAGCCAGGTCTTGTGACTCCCAGTCCATTGCTTGATCCACTAGCCCTCACTGCCTCTCCCCTGTATACCTTACAGAATGCTGTTACATTTCTGTACATGTCTCTTCTCTTCCCTGCCCTCTTAGGTGAATCTCCTTGTTCCAGTCACTTACCTGCTATTTTGGGCATTTCTTCTGATCTTCAGTTTCTATTCTGAGCCAGTCGTCTGTGGAATTGGACTAATCATCATATTAACTGGAGTGCCTGTGTTTTTTCTTGGAGTATACTGGAGAAATAAACCAAAGTGTATAAATAGACTAGCTGGTAAGAACACATTATAGTTCATTAATTCAGCCTCACTGTTTGTTCATGAACATGTAGGAATTTGTTTCAACCTCTCAGGTCTACATTTCCACCAATCCACAAAGGGTCCCAGTGACTGTGTGGCATTCACCAAAACTACCATTAAATTATGCAGCTCTGCAGAGCTCTTTGGACAGGATTTTGCTGATCAAAGTGTTTAGATTTTACCCCAATTATTTACTTCTTGACCACATGAAAGAGAACTGCCTTAATGCCAATATACAGTATAAAGCTAGAAGCAGGAAAACATGATGCATACGGCACAAGAAATCATCAGATTTATAACAGAGCATGGGAAAACTGCCTATTGATAAAGATACCCCTGCCAATTTTTAGACCCTAAACCTGTACACAGAAGGAACTAGGTTTCTCTCAAAGTGCAGACTTTCAGTGCTTAATTTTTCAATAAGACATAAGGATGCTAAGGTCAGGCTGTGAAATGCAAATGGAGAAACAGAAACAGACTAGAGAGAGAACAAAAAAGAGAGAGAGAGAGCAGTGAAGAGGTGTAGCTAGCATGTGACTGACAGTAAAATTCAGAAGAGCACTACTAGCTTACCCGTTCTTTTCTGCAAAGAAGCTGACATCCCTTGTACAAAAGTGCTCTCATTAATACACCACTTTCTAGAATTTAGCAAAGGTTTCAGTGGCTTGTACAATGGGGAAATATTCAAAAAGTAACCTTATTGAAATGATTATTTCATAATGGTATCCAGATAGGGATAGCCCAGGTTTACTGCCAGGTCCCAGAGATGTAAGCTGAGCCAGTCTGACATACTCCATTCAGCTGGACTATGAGTATTCAGCTGTGGGAAGAGGCACGAAATTTCAAGTTTTATTTTTATGATGCTGCAACTTGTTCATTTAGGTTACTGTAGTTCTCCCTTTGCATGTTTTCTGCCCCTCTTTGACATGGCACATTCCTCCATTCATCCAGCTTGCTTATTTGGCCTGTTCAGCAAAGCACTTGTTCAGGCGTGTACCTTTAAGCATGCAAGTAAGTCTCATTGAGCTCAAGTGTTAAATAAATAATAAACCAACACTTAAGTGCTTTGGCAAATCAGACTTTAGCACTATCCCACCCCCACCCTACTTTTGTGACGATTTTGAATGTGTTCATTCCCCCAGCACAGTACTGATATCCATCCCAATGTATGTCCAGAATTCCCATGTGCATAAGATAGGAAAGCCAGGATCTACCACTCTCATGAAAATAAATTACACACCAGTCGTACATCTTAGCTAGAAAAAGGTCTTTAAGGTTTTTTTAAAAAACTATTTGCTTTAAGGCTAGGATGTCCAAAGGAGTCTAGAAACTTTCCACCCTATGAAAGTCAGTGGGAATTGTGTGCCTAACTCCCTTAGGGTCCTTTGACTCTCAGGACTCAATGCTTTAGGAAAAAAATTAATTCATCATTTTCACTGGAAAAAAGCAATAATATGGTATGATGGGGTAAGCCTCACCGTACGTGGACTTGCATAAACAGCAGAGCTTTGGATGTATGCGTGCTCACGTAGAAGATTTTTTGAGAGGACTCAAATAATCATCACTTTAACAAAGTGAGTTTGTGTTTTTCATAGAATCCATGACATACTGGGGACAGAAGTTGTGTTTCGTCGTCCACCCTCAAGAGGGAGCTCCAGAAGAGGATGATCTGCCTTTCACTCATTCTCAGCTACCACGAAGTGAAAAGTCCTTGAAGAAACAGCGAAAAGTCCTTGAGAAATAATGAAGCAATCGATGAGACAGAAGTAGCTTTTTGTTTACATGTTGATTTTTGCAAAAAGTTTTTCTTGGAAAAAAAAAAGTTTTTAGAAGTCAGATACAGAAGCCCATGAAATGAGCTACACCTTTACAACAGTCCTTAGCTCTTAGCTTTTCCTAAAAAAATAAAATAAGGAGCTGGTTATTTATTTCTGACAGTGTATTTCAGTCAGCAAGGAAGTTTAGTGCAGGTACAGTAAGCTAAGTTCTTCATCACCAATTCCAGCAGCCTTGGGGTTGTACTGTAAAGCAGATTAATCTGGAAATTTCAAGATTGGGACCTCTTCCAATAATGAAAATAAAATGGGGAAAAGTCAATGGAATAGGGAAAGCCAGTGGTCCTACTCATGCTCCCACGGGAGCCAGTGACACAAGTCTAATTGATTTAACTGGCACAGGATCAGACCCCACATAACCCAGGTAGTTTTCAAATTACAATCTAAAAAAACTCAATTGTGTGAACACTTCTGCACATGCATAACTTTACCCCTGAGAGCAAAGTTACACCCAAGCCTCTGTATTTGCAAGTTTGGGTATTAAAACTGTGACCATTGTTGAGTGAACAGTAAGGGTATGTCTACACAGCAAAGAAAAACCCACTGCTGCAGTTCGTGGGGCTTGGCTCAGGCACTGGCTTGTGGGGCTGTTTCATTGCTGTGTAGACATCCGGGCTCAGGCTGCAGCCTGGACTCTGACACCGTACATGTGGGAAGGTCCCAGAGCTCAGGCTCCAGCCCAAGCCCAGACGTCTACACAGCAATGAAATACCGCAGCCTGAGCCCTGCAGGACCAAGTCAGCTGGCATGGGCCAGCCGCGGGTATTTGTTTGCTGTGTAGACAGACCCTAAGAGCTTATCCAGGGTATTTACATACAATACATTAGAGCTGAATGTATAACTTCTACACTGTGTTTGATCATTTTTGTCATTATTCAATTATGTAAAGAAACCATGGAAATTGTGATATGATCTAAAGTAACTTCAGTCTTCAAGCAGTTTTGCAAACCAGGAGTTGCGGTTTGTATTATGAAATCTGAACAGCTCTGTTATTACAATAACCAGAAAAAAAGGTGGGTGAGGTAATATCTTTTATCTGACCAACTTCTTTTGGTGAAAGAGACAAGCTTTCAAATTAAAAAAAATGTATTTAAACTGATTTTAAACTTGGTTAGTCACTTCTTACAGCATATACTTTTTCTTCAAACAGAAATTGCAAGCAATATTTGTGTAAACCAAAAACACCAGCCTCAAATACCACAATCTTTACGTCTATACATTTGATGTGCTACTTTAAGAAACAAATGTCAATAGAGCAAGTATTGGCTAATCATTGGTGCTTCTAGGACAGGCTATCTATCTAAGGCCTCCTCTACATGGGAAAGTTTCAGTATAACCTAAGGGATGAATTTAAAAGTGACGGTTATACAAGAACCTCCTCCCCACCCTATGGACACTTATAGTTAGGGCCCTACCAAATTCAGGGTCCATTCTGGTCAAATTCACAGTCATACAATTTCAAAAATCGTAAGTTTCAAGATTTCAGCTATTTAGATCTGAAATTTCATGGTGTTGTAATTGTAGGCGTCCTAACCCAAAAAGAAGTTGTGGGGGGTTCGCAAGGTTATTGTAGGGGGCATTGTGGTACCTCTACCCTTACTTCTGTGCTGCTGCTGGTGGCGATGCTGCCTTCAAAGCTGGGCAGCTGGAGAGCGGCAGCTGCTGGCCGGGAACCCAGGTCTGAAGGCAGAGCCACCGCCAGCAGCAGAGCGGAAGTAAGGGTGGCATGGTATGGTATTGCCACCCTTACTTCTGTGCTGCTGCTGGCAAGACGCTGCCTTCACAGCTGGGTCCTGGCCAACAGCTGCCGGTCTGTGGCCGCCCAGCTCTGAAGGCAGCGCAGAAGTAAGGGTGGCAATACCGTGACTCCCCCTAAAATAACCTTGCCACCCCTCTGCAACTCCCTTTTGGATCAGGATCCCCAATTTGAGAAACACTGGCCTCCCACATTACATCTGTATACTATAGAGTAAAAGCACACAAGACCAGATTTCACAGTCAATGACGTGTTTTTCGTGGCTGTGAATTTGGTAGGGCCCTACTTATAGTATTAAAAGCCGGGGGTGAGGGGTTGGTTTAGCTTGTTACTTGGAAAAGGATTTAAGCTAAACCAAAGTCACTCATCTAGTAGCCACACAGGGGAGTTCAGAGTGATATAACTGGTAAAACTCTCATGTAAGCAAGACCTTAGTACAAGGATAGACAGCACAGAAAGGCACTGGAAAAGGTACTCAGACGATGTCTACACTACTGTGCACCTTACAATGACATGCATGTGCAGCTGCCCTGTTGTAAGATAAGCAGTGTAGCACCTCTTTGTCGCCAGGAGAGAGCTCTCCAGATGACCACATAAAACCACTCCCAACGAGGGACAATAGCTTCGAAGCCAGAAAAGCATCTCCTGCCAACAAAGCATTGTCCACACCGGCGCTTTTCGTCATTAAAACATTTGTCGTTCAGGGGGATTTTTTTTCACACCCCTGACCGAAAAAGTTTGAATGACTTAAGTGCATTGTAGACATAGCCTGAATGTCACAACTAAATACAAGGTGGAACAGAGTGTTTAGCATAAGTAGTTCACACATATTCTAAGAGACTATTCAAGGTGTTAAGAGTTCAGTGAGGTTCAAAAGCTTCTCTTTCACCAACAGAAGTTGGTCCAATAAAAGATATTACCTCATCTACCTTGTCTCTAATATCCTGCGACCAACACGGCTACAACAACATGGCAAACAACATTACAATAACCGGACAGTTATGCTAAAAACTTTGTACAGTTCTACTGTCAAATGGGAAGAAAAAGAACTCTACTGTATTTCTAGTATACATTGCAATGGGAAAAAAGGAACAAATTCTGGTATATTTCTATTTTTTCTAATGTGCTCACACAAAAATTCATCTTGCCTTTGAAGACAAACTCCACATTTCATCCATGTTCAATGAAGAAACTGTCCTTAATATTTTTACCACCAGCTGCTCATTAGAAGGTGCCTTGGCATGTTTGTAGCTGTAACAAATTGATATGTTTAGAGTTCTAGTAGTGACTTATTTGGTAAATTTATGGTGGTTGCAAATGTAAAAATGTGACCATTTTCATACCAAAGAATCTTTTGAAAAATGCAAAATCACAGAATAGCTTTGAGCAATAGTCCAATAGCTACTACTTTGTTGTAACTTTTAGAAATATAGGTGATCATATTTACTACTTTTAAAATAGCCATATCAATTTTAATTTGCAAGTATCATGATTTACTGTATTTTAAAGGCCTTGGTACAACAATTAAGGATTCAGTTGGTCTCTTAGTTTGTCAAGTACCATAGGACTACTCTCTACAAATACATTGAACCTGAAACTCAGACTATGAGGCAAGTTCAAGGAAAGCATCTTTCAACAGAATTTAGCATTTAGAATATGTTTTTATTTTAAATATATACCTCCAGATGGTATATATCCAGATCTTTCAGACAGTAGATATTTTAAAAGGAAGCAAAATATACCCTCCTCTCTTTGTATGAAGTGGTTAATCAAGAGATTATTAAAGTATACATGTAGTTAGAGAGAAAGTGTGTGTTGTGTATATACATATATAAATGCTAGAGAGACTCTACATTTAAATAACCTTATGAATATGTAGCATTGCAAATGAAAGTTACATACATGAAGCCTCATTTTTGACAGAGGATGAACACCCATCACTGTGTTGAAGAAAACAAATTTATATTGGTTTATCATGATTTACCTTTGTCTGTCAAGGCTTTCATGACCAAGATTCTGATGTTCTTCAGATTAAAATTCATGCTCAGTGACAGTTTCAGAAAAGATTCCTTCCCCTGCCAATATCACAAGATAGCAAATTATATAGAGTTTAGCATCAACAATAGTTTATTTCCCCCAACAATGAAGATATTAAAGTTGGCTGGAGTTTAGGCTTTGCAGAATTCTTCAGCAACAAGCCTGTGCTGTTATGAGAAAGGCACAAATGATAAGAGTATACTGCAACTGCTTAGATTGTTTGTTTATTTGTTTAAGGAAATGAAAATCAGAATTAAAGGACCAATTGCCTCACAGTTGTTAATTGTTTTTGTCTGAAATCTTTCCTGATTCCGCTACATTTTCATACTTTAAAAATAAGAACCCTCGGGGCTTAAAATCAGGAGGCTTAATTTAGAGATGTTTTGGATTCAGGGTTTTAGTTTGGGCCCATCTTTAATCCATAAATCACCTCACCTGAAACCTATTTCAGCATGTTCTATTTAGTGATCACAAACAGTTTCATTTATAATCTCAACAAAATTATATTTTAAAAAATTTACATTAAAGTTAGTTTCTAATTTATAAAATATCTGACTGTCAAAATCAACAGGCCCAACCAGCAAGATAATTTCATGCTCCACCAAAGAAAAAGATCTAATGATTTAAGATGGACTGCATGTCTTTTTAAATAAGTGAAGGAAATGACATCAAAACTTCTATTACTCAGACTTCTGTCTCTTTCTGTCTTAGGTATTTTTAGAATGTTCATCATTGTCCTAGTATCCCTAAGGATGGTAGAAAATGGCCTATTAGTCCAAATTTAATGTTCTTTTTATCATTTTAAAGCAAACTACCAGCCCAGTCAGCCAGTTTTACCACCATAGTATTTTAAATAGAAGGGGAAAGGTGGGGAAATGGAGCCAATTTGATACAAAAAGTCATGTCAGGAATCTCTTGATATTTGATAGAACAGAGTGAATGAATAGCATCCAAAAGAGAGGTTGAAATATGAAACCGGTGGTGTTCAGGACCACTGCAATCCCAAGATATTTGCTATCCTAACTGAAACATCACTAGATTCCTCCTCCTTTACCATATTATTATTCTCTTTATTGTCAATATGTTAATTTTCCCTTACTTGACATATAAATCCATATAAGCTGGATATTAATTTTTCATTTCTCAAAAAGAAAAGCCATGACCACAGAGAGAATTATGCACCATTTATACCTCAATAGAAACATTTTTTAAGGATGGATAAACTACCTCAAAGTTATGGTGTTGTTTAGAGCTCAGAAATAGACCCATTTCTATTTATTTAATAAAAAAGCCCAGGTGGTATTACAGTCACCTGCGTACAAAACAAAACCCAGATGCCTTAAACTCCAGTAAAAACAACTGAGCATATTACTGGTAGAAAAAGTTGGGTCAAGAATTGGGCTTCAAATGAAGTTTTTAAATGGATTTACAGTCTCTTGTGCTTTAAGACTGGTCGTTATAGGGCCATGATAACTATTGAAAAATGCTCTGTTGCTGTTTTTAGCATTTCCAACAATCCAGCATCCCAAAAATCCAACTGGAGGAGAAGGGAAATTAAGTACGAAGTTACAAGCGTATTTAAAGTTTTATAAACCAGAAGAGAAACCTTGAAGTTCGCTTTACAGCAGCTTGGAAGCCAGTGAAAAGATGGATGTGACAAAGGAATTTCATGGTATAAAAATAAATCTGACTTCCTGTACCAAGAAACTAAAGCTAAGCAGAGCTGATGAAGAGTTTTGATGAATCAAAATCCTGCAGGTTTGTGAGCTGCTGTCAATACACAGCAAAGATGACATACCTCTAATTTGTTCTCTTGTATTGGGTTTAGGGTCTAGCTATAAAATCTGTGAAGTTTTGTCTCTCAGTTGGTGGTCTGTAAGCAGACATTCATCACTTCATAGGCCCCTCATCAAGTGCATTGGGCTTGCCATGTGTACATCCCACATTTTACTGAAACTGAGACTCAAAGCAAGACCTTTGTGGTATCTAAACAGCAGTTTTACCTGGTAAACCCAGAGAGAGTCTCTGTTGAACCACGCCAGGTCAAGTTGCACTAAACAGGTCAAGGCTGGAAGTCAGTGTACCACCCAAGCATTCACTGATTTAAATCAAAGCAATTTAAATCACCAATTTTAATCATGATTTAAATCAACACACAGGAAACCTAGATTTAAATAATTGATTTTAATCATGTTTTGCATTTATACTTTTTAGTTACTTTCCTAAGGGAAGGTTGAGTCTCATTAGTTAGTAACCTTTAAAACATGAAAAGAAAAGGAGTACTTGTGGCACCTTAGAGACTAACCAATTTATTTGAGCATGAGCTTTCGTGAGCTACAGCTCACTTCATCGTATCTCAAATAAATTGGTTAGTCTCTAAGGTGCCACAAGTACTCCTTTTCTTTTTGCGAATACAGACTAACACGGCTGTTACTCTGAAACCTTTAAAACATGTTGCTTTGTAATTAGATACATAGTCTTTACGCTAAATTTTGTACTTCTTATTGCTCACTAGGAGGATACACTACATCTATACACATATCTTTAAGCAATTACAAAGTTTAACTTACATTTATCCAGACCCTTAATTTTTAAATGTTTTGTTGATTTTTTTATTTGTAATTTGTGTTGAGCTCTATTGGGATGGAAATTCAATTAAAATATGCAAAAACAGCATTTATTTTCATTAAATAAAACTACCTTAAAAGTGCTGAATGCATGAGAAAAAACATGTATCAAAATATGTTTTAAATTTAAAACTGATTTATTAAACAAAGAAATTATCTGTAGTTAATGAATTGATTGTTTCCAATCATCATACCCTTCCAAATTTTAGAACCAATAGATCTCATTCTGTCATACTTGATTTTTATTATTCAGAGCCTGGAAGAAGAAAGCAAACGTTCCTGCTCTTTCTGGTCCAAATTGGTTTCTAAATTAATTAAATTACTAAACTGAAACAAAGAAAATATTTTCTCTGAACCTGCAGTAGAGACTACTGCTTTCAAAAGCTGGTTTAGCACTTCAGCAAACTCTTGTTCCAGATGTATAGCCAGTAACTTCCACCAGTGCCATGGTCTGATTTTCTTTGAAACTTGGCAGCCAACATGTACTGCTTAATACTATTTTTTGTATTTAGTGTAAATAATTTTTTATAGATTTTAATAAATGTGGCTCTCGACATAATTATCAATTTCAAATTTAATTTTAAGTAGGTTTATTTAACTAAAATAATCCAATTTAAATTTTGAAAAAATTGATTTTTTAAAATCCATTTGTATCTACCCCGGCACCATCCCAGTAGGTGTGATCCCAACTGGAGCAGCCATCCCAGCACATAGCCAGGGCCTGGGGAGGATTGTGCTCGGGCGGTTAGCCCTGTGCCACTGCAGCCACACGGCTATTTTTAAAGAGCTTGCTCTAATAAAGTTAGTTTGGATGTGCCTACACAAGCTGCAATCTCTCCTCCTGAATAGACATCGCAATGCAGACTTTGCGGGTGAAAATCAGCATTTGCCCCCATAAATCAAGGGCATATACATACAGTCTAGCATTTTTGTTTGCAACAGATTGTGCCTGTGCCCTCATTTTGCTGTGAGGGTAAAAATCTGACAGAATTACCACCTCACTTGAGGACACTTTGTAAACGTGGCTTTTGTTTCCAACAGAAACAAGGGTCCCAAAGTATGGTGATATCACTAAACCATGCCTGTTACCCCAACGTCTGATCCCAATACTGCGGGTGACGAAACTTCCCGTGCCCCACTTCGTCCTCCACATTGAAGATTTGACGTATTTCACAATGCTAAGACTCAAGGTCAAATCCAGCCCTGTTGTGAGCATAGTTCTGTTGAAGGCAATGGAATTGTGCCCAGTGACTTCAGGGCTGCATTTGGCTCTGAAACTACCTTCTCTTTCTCCAGCTCTTTAGTCTTGTTATCTAATCTCTTTCTGGTAATACATGCAAACGTCATTCACTCTGCATGCTCAGCATTGCAAAGCGCTGTTATCCATGTTAGGTTGCTAAGCATCACTTGGCAACATGTGCCACATACTGCTATGCCTCTCCAGCACTTTTCCCCTGTGTTTTTCTTTCACACCTGATGTGCCAGTAAAAATTCTCATCAACACCAAGGACAGATAGACATTTCAGCTGGCAAATAGTTTAGGGATAGATTCAGGGCTAAGCAGCGTAAAGGGCAATGAGACACCCCATCACCTCCCATGCAACCGCCCAGGCTAGGTGGACCTTGGGTTCAGCTGCAGTGTTAGGGGATGCTTTGTGCTTCTCCCCACTCTACCAGGTTATGGGCAGGAAATGGGTTGAGGGGGGGAATGGGCAATGAATAGACTGAGCCTTGCCTCCCTCCTCCCCCACCCAGCTATTGTGAGCAGATATGTGTGACAGTGGGTGAGAGGGGACAAGGTTTAAATAGAGGCCAGCAGAAAATTACTACCTCCCTGGAGTAGGGGAATGGGGGAAGAGAAGGGAGAGAATTCATTCCCTGGGGTGCTCTTGCCATCCCTTTTTAAAAGCTGTGTCCTTGGACACAAGTTGCCCCCGAATGATCAACACTGGCCCATCGTACATTCTGTGCAGAGGTTCTAACCAGAGAAAATTATTTAGCACAAACAATTCACGCTATATAACATGCCATCCAGCTGCTCTCCAGAATACTTCTCACTCTAAAATGCTACTAGTTTGTAGGAAAGATGTCAGCTCTTAGATGTTGCTGAATACAGAAACTGATATTTTATTTATAAATATTTACCACTCTGGTATTTCCAAAAAATTATATTTTAAAAAGGAAGCAGATTTTCCATTGCCTGTAGGATAATGTTGGGAGAGTTTACCAGCTACACAGCACTACCATCTGCTCAAACCTTTTTGGAATGCGGGGAGGAGAGGGAGCTTCTTTTAGTCTGCCTTGAAACTCACAAAGCAGCATGATCCATAAATTATCCTCAGCAAAAACAAGGACTGCACTCAGAAATATTTTTTCAGAGGACGCAGTCAAGGTATTTTTCATATATTTTTTCACTCAGTGTTGTTTATAGCTCTTTGTGACCTTGAAAATGAAATGTGTTTGCATTCAAGCTCCTTTGTGCCATCTGCTAGCTACACAGACCTGTGTGTTATTGTAGGGCTGTTCGTAACGGTTGAGCTGTTAGGACTTTTTCTTTTTAAAACATGAAATATTGAAGTATTTAAAAGGAAAAAAACACAGTAATTAGGTAATCTTTTCTCAATAGATATACAAGAAACCAGCATGTC